ACCTCAGTTTCAAACTGCGTATAAGCAGTATTCTGAGAACATATTATCTTCAATATAAGTTGATCGTAAAGACCACGGTCGAAGCGAGCGGTGACACATCGTGGTGATTCACAAGCAACAGAGCGCAGGAATTCATGACGTCAGCCCACGTCCGGACTATATTCATTATTGGAGGAAAATGAACGCGGATTTCACAAGTTTATGCTTATCTGTATTCTTTTGTTACTGTCATTAACGTGATAGCTCTAGTAGGTATTAATAAAAATAGTGAAATGATGCATGTCTGTGGGTGATTTTTGAATCTGTACCCAAAAGTTACGAATTTTGTTATATTATTGTTTAAAGCTAGATGGCTTTACTAAATAAATGTTTTCATTAAATATGTAATTATTGGGTATGGTCAACCACCCACAACTAACCCTGTAAAATATGAAAATATACAGAGCAATTTTTGCTCTCACTATTCTATAAGGATTAAATAAAAAACGAATGAGATATTCTACGTCCATTATATTATCTCAGTAATGAAAAATCACGTTTATTTATACACAAAGGGAAGTATTATCAAATAACTAAAGTTATGTAAGCATCTAATGTCAAAAAATATCAAAAACAAAAGCACATATTGTCTTACTACAAAAAATTTAGCGGTCAAGAAATAATTGTAATTAAGTCCTCATTTTAATAGTAAAACGAAAATTAAACGTATTGTGATAGGAATAAATCAGTCTAAGAAAGGAACTGTCTAACACTTGATGTCAGTTTAACAATAACGATCCGTTACCTTACAACTAAAGAGGAACAATTTAGAACTTAATATATATGGTATAAAAATAATACAAAAAATGGCTCCCACATCGATATTTGACTAGTATTTGTCCAGTCAGACACATAGTCTACTAAAGGATCCTGTGCAAGAATAATGAGCCCGCCCCCTGAGGCCTCCGCCCTCTTCAAAAACTGTCAATTACAACTATTACAGGTGACATGACGCCTTTTGCGTTGGAAAAACTTCATAATTCAATTAAGTGATAATTTTAGGGCTGAATCAATTCAACAATCTCAAAAGCCATATAAACCATATATACAAATACCTTAATTAGCTACGTGATGCGATATGAGTTAAGGGTTTCCCAACAAGGAGTAAAAAACTTTTATAGCTAAAATGAATTAGCAATTTCATGTCTTGAATATTAAGAAACCCTATAGATACTCGAGTATCAAAATTATCTTACCTACATAGTATAGTGCTGTAAACTTAACCGTCCCAATGCAATTACTATTGTTAAGATAAGTTTATGGCACTATATCAGTCATCCATTCAAAACAACACAGCCCAGTCATGACTAATATACAGTCTTATTTTCAATATCACAACAAAAATTGTAAACTGACGTCAAATGTAAGGGCAAGTGATTTGGCAGTGTGATGAATATTGACAATGGACCACAAATCTCAATTCACAAGCTGGACTTAAAATGTATTTAACTCGACTGCCTTTGCTCGCATTGCGGTATCTAAACTCAGTAGAAAAAATACTAAAATGACAGTAATTAGTTCATCTTTCTGTCATAACGAATGACATTTTTAACTATTAAGATTTAGTCCAGCCGTATATTGATGTTTTGGTCTATGGCTTACGACACAAAAGATTCACAATACTTAGAATTAAACCTTATCGATCAGTGTGTACACTGGTAACTGAAGGACAGCAGTCTTAATAAAATTAGTCTCATTATTCATACATTACGCGGCATTAGGATTTTTTGTATTGGCAACATTTTCTACCAGCGGTACGCTAAGACGGCCATTTTGATTCAATCAAATTAACTTAGCCGATTTTGTTTGTATGTCAAAAAGGCCACCTTAGCGTGCCGCTGGTAATGCTAAATACTAATATGTAGATAATACTATAGGATTTTCGAGATTCTAACGGCTTAACGCCTCGAATACTGTGCGTAAACGCTATTTTTCTAAACAAAACGCCTAATTTAACCTGTCCTTAGCCTATCTTAAAATTATGAATATGACGTAAAAATGAGAAAACCAATCGAAAACAACACATCTATGCTTACTCACTAAAATGTACTTATAAAACTCCCGACAGATATAAAAGACACAAAAGCATAGACAATTTGTTTTCAATTGTATTTACAAAGAGGCTCGTCACTTTAACTAGTATAAAACCTAATAATTTAGGACCTGTTTCAAAATGGGAAGTGATAGAAATAGAACTTAACAAGTCCAGCAGTTTAGGTAATTTTAACAAGTTTGTATTATTGCAAGTATCACTTCATACACTAAATAAACGTCAAATGTGTTATAAACATTATTTAACGGGATTAAAATGCGTTACCTTTTTAAACCATTGTCTTGTAGAATATATTATTTGCGACAAAGTTTGAACTTTTCAAATTGTAAAATTATACCCCTTATTTATTAATACATGGCCTAATTGCACCGATTTAAAAGTAACTTACTCGTCTCTTTTCATCGCAGTTTGAATTCAATTTGATAGAAAGAGACGAAACAGTACTGTTACGAGTGAGGGCAATTAAACATTAGTTTTATGACGATAATATTGAAACGCGTTTTAATCCCGTAAAGTGTATCATCTTTAAAGAGAAATATTAGAAATAATGTATGAACTAGTGAGTGATGTCAATAGCCTCAGTCTTGAGCCCCACGATACGCAGCGCCACCTTTTACAATCTGAAATAATATTTATAGTTTCAGCTTTTTGAAAGGACATGTGATAGCTATTAGAACTTAGATAGCTAGGTTTTCAAAGTTTTGTCACATTTTTTAAATTTGCAGTGTCACGAATTATATTCTGTTACAAGTGTGAATTCTCCCATCCGACTCAATTTAACGGTTACCTTTAATGAAAAACTGATTTTCTATAGTAAATACATTGATATACGAAAACCCGTAAAAGATGAGTCTCGAATAAAAGTAACGCTCGAAAGTGTCCCGAAACACTATTTCTGTCCATACACAGTATATGTTACAAGCATATATTATATGCAAAATCAACCTTACGCGAATTGCTTAAAGTTGTTATGTACAAAAACTGTGCAGTGTATATCTCGGCGTCAGATACTGTAAAGCATGCCCTACGTATTTTTAATAATTTACGTATGTTAATCTCGACTCGACCGTGGTCGGTAGGACTTAAGGGTTGAAAATTAAATAGAGTGGAGTCGAACATGACTTTTTATTTACAACTATTTTTTTTTTTTTGATGGAAAAACATAATTTTAAATTTATCCGACTTTTCGGGTGCTTTATGTTCAAGCGTAGTCTCATAATGGTCACGGTGATCTGAAGACAAAAGGTGTTGGATGTTAAATATTGTAAATTTTATATCAAATACATAACATTTTTCTTTTTGGCGCTCCCCGCTAGAATCCGGTTAAAACACTATTTTCTTTAAATTACAAAAAAAACTTTAATTAAATCGTTGGCTACCTCCTGACCCACACTTTATATAGTCGTAAATATATTTGTCAATAAATTCTACACACAAAAAAGAAGTTTTGACAAGTACATGTTTTTAAAAACCAAAAAAAAAAAAAAATTAAATTTATTTATAAAAAAAACACAAATAAATATTTTTAGAGTTTTAAAATAAAGCGAACGGTTTAACATCGACTCCACTTATAGATCCCGAATCGGGTCTAATTGAAATGTAGCGCACAATTTAGAATGTTGCGCTCATTTAAATTTAGAGGACGTTTTTTTAGACGTTGATTGCTGCATCTTGGGATTTTGTTCATTATTCAATTGGGTAAATATAAAAGTAATAAAAATGTTTGATTAATCGAAACTAGTTCTCATATTGTGAGATTAGTGTTAATATAATTTGTTGTTGTTAAAATACAATTTTACATTCTGACGCACATTCGAAAGTCATTTCTGATTTTCGAGATTTTGTTACTACATCACTCCCCCCCCCCCCCCCCCCCCCCACAAAAACCCCCCCAAAGGGGGGGAAAAACCCCCAAAACCCCCAACCCCCACCCACCATAATACGACTTGAGAACTAAGCCCGACCTACGTTTACGTCTCTGAAGCTTCAAATATTAATCTTCTTAAAGGTATTCAAAAAAAATACCGTTTATTTCATTATTTAATTTATGTTAATATGAGTTTTAGAGTCAGATAGGAAGGCTACTAAAAGACGAAAAGATTGTTCATCTAGTTCGACTATGATTGGTCAATAACACCTCTATTCCCATACGTGTGGACACGGACATGTACGGTACGTCATGTAAAAAATAAAGATATAGATTTTGATTAATTAGTAAGGTGAAAAAGACCATTTTGTGGTAATTATGCCATTTAGTTGTAGCTTATGAAACTCTAAAAATTGTAGAAGTGACTGTCAAATAAAACAATGATTGCAATTAATAATATTGCGGGTAAATTGTGGCCATGATGGTGAAATATTAAAGGTGTATTTAGGAAAAAAAAAAAAAAAAAAAAAAAAAAAAAAAAAAAAAAAAAAAAAAATTTAAAAAAAAAAAAAAAATTTAAAAAAAAAAAACAAGGTCAAGGGTTTAAGATAAGATTTTAGAGTAGTCGTAAGTAGTCTTTACATGTGGCCTCCATCTTTGTAGGCGCGTGTTTCTTATTTATTTTTACTGATAACATATTGTTAAAACCGGAAAAGCCAGGCTAAGCGAAAGTGAGAAAGAATTCTATATTGTTCGAAATGTTTGTTATAATTACAGTTTCTACTATGGAATAGATAAATAAGATTAAAAGCACATTTGCTCGAAATTTGCATCAGTGTCGCTGCTTCGACCTTATCACAAATTAGCAGAATTAATTTTGTGTAATTATTCAGAATTATCTACTTTCATCCATATTAAATTATTCCATAGTAACGTCAATATAAAAACAAAAGATGTGTGTATAAATGTGTTCGGCATGTTTCGTGTAATTATTAATAAAACTGTAGGAATACAAAAATAAAATAAATACTCACAAGTATTTTATGCCTCTGTCGCTTGCTCTATGGGGTCTGGAAGTGATTCTTCCTTTGAGAGGGATTTAACTTTGATCTCCGAAACAGACTTAATTTCTTCTTCTGTTTCGTTAGTGCCATTTGAGCCGTTCATTTCTTTCCCATTTTCTGCCGAAAGCCTTTCTTCTACTTTTTCGACACCATTTTGGCTAATTTCAGTTCCATTTGTCGCATCACCATTTAATTGAACTTCATTTTCACTCTTTGTTTCCTTTGTGTCATTTGATTCAGATGTTTCTGGTTCGGCTTGTTTCTCATTTGTATTTTTCGGCACAATTTCTTTTTCGGCTTTCGTTTCTGTTACGACATCCGTAGGTTTTGAGTCGTTTTCCTGTTTAACTTCAGTTTCGTCAGTGGGCACTGCAATTTTATCAATTCCATTTGTTTCTTTAGCCTTTTCAGCAATAGGTTCATTTGAAATACTTTTGTCTTCACTTGCTTCTAGGACTTTGGGTTCTTTACTTTCACCGGCTTTTTCCTCTACATCCTTCTTTTCTTTGCTTTCAGATACAGCTGGCTGACTATCATTTTTTGATTCCACTTTGGTATCTGAAACTTTATCGCCTTCATTGGGTACATGATTTTCGACTTCCATAGATTCTTCAATTATAGGTTTTAATAGAGGCTTCATATTTTCTAAATTTGCAACATTCTTCATTTTAGATAATATCTCGTCACATTCTTTTTCCAATTCCTCACTTACATTTTGCAAGTTATCTATTTCAGCTTCCGTTCCTGGTTCTTCAACAACCGGATCCAGCCCCTCAATTATTTCAGCAGCATCTGCAAGTGATTCCTTCTCGTTTGTAATTTCTTCTATTTCTGTGATTACAGCAGGAGGGGTCTCCTCCGCGACAGGACTGTCTTCTTTAACCACTTGGTCTTTCGACAGTTCATTAGCCTTTTTGGGAGTTTTTTCGTCTGACGTTTCTTTAGCTTGCGACTTTTCTGCAGATTTTTCAGCAGCAACACTTCCATTTATTTCAGTTTCCATTTTTTCTTCTTTTTCTTGGCCATCATCGACTTCAGTTACAATTGGTTTAATATCACAAACTGGAGCATCAGTATCCTTAGCATCGGTTATTTCTTCAATAATTGTTTCGCTCTTCGCTTCAACAGCGGCATCATCCACTTCCATTTTTTCTTCTGCTACCTTTTCAGTAGGTGACGCCACTTTTTCTTCGGCGGATTCGGTCGCAGTCTTTACGTCATCATTTATATCAGTCTTAAGAACTTTGGCGGGTTGTTCGTCCTGCAATATTAAACAAGAGAATGAAAATACTTAAAAATAATCGGTAGTATTAGGCAATAGAAGAAGCTTACATTTATTTTTACAAGGAATTGATAAAGGTGATCATGTATCAAATTTATAATTAAATTAGATATCAATGTATCAATTACCATGTATCAGCAATATGGTACAAACTTTGAGGTAAGTAAATAATAGAAAGCTTTTTAAACATAATTTATTATTAAAAAACTACAAAAAACCATTAAATGGTCACATTACTAATGGTATATAAATAAAAAGGTATCATTTGCCTTTAACCATCACCATACAACTATCTACATATAATACCAACTTTCCAGATACAAGCAGAAACATACATAATAATTTAACTTGTTAACTTTGAAACACGAATTTGTTAATTTATACACTCTAGAGTGAATAAGGTTTGTTTACAGCCTAAGCACGTATGATAACGTACCGTCAAGTAAAAATTAAAATATATTTCAATTAGGTAATAGTTATAAAAAAACAAAAGCTGGGCTGTGCTTATGTTACTGGTAGCATACAAATTCTAATCAATGTGGCTCAAACTTATTCATTGAACAGTTAGAAGTTATAGGATGGCAAAGCAGTGTTCAATAGAATATAAATATACGCTGACAAAACGCTACGATTTAAATCCGAATGATTAAAAATAGCATTAACATCATATAAAACTGATAAACAAGATTGAAAGGAACTTTTGTTGCCAGTATTGAACCAGTGTCGCTAGTGTGACACCCCTTTCATTCTTAAATATCTCTTCTGTAAAACCACATTCCAACCAAGAGCTACTATACTAACCTCACCTACTACAAAGCATGCAAATCTAATATGGCACCTGAGGGTCGGTCTTGCGTTTGTTTGAGACTGTAAGTTGCCCAAACGACTCAATCACAGGGTACGAACTTTTGTCTTCATCTGTGAGTGGTGCATTGCCTTCTCTTGTGACTAGAGCTGTGTATAGACCAGCAGATTTGGCGGCTTCCGCTTCTGTAATTGAAGAGTATATCTTTAGCATATTTGTTTGTGATTGAACGACATAATGATTGTGTGTGTTATAAGATAAATTGTATTTTATTGACATAACTTTTATACATTTAAAGGAAACAATTATGTAAAATAATTGTAAATTTATAATACATAACTTGAATCCGTTAAAAAATTGTTTCCTTTAAAAGATAAATTATTTGAAATATTTTGAAAACAGATGCAGAAATGTGTTTTGGAAGGAATGAATTAGATTACTAGACTTAATTCTTGGTTAGACTTATCACTTACATGCATTATAAAGACAGTCGGGAAAAAAATCAGTCAATGGGCTATTTGGCAAGATTTTAAAAACCATTTCAGATTATTTAATTGTGAATATACTCTGGTTTTTAATTCCGTAGAATTCTGAAAGCTATCAATTTATATATACAGGGCGTCTCAAAGTTGTGGGACATGAAGGGAAAGTACCTTAAATATCGTAGATAGGGTATTTTACTATCTATCTACGATATTTAAAGTTCTTTCCCTTCATGACCCATAGATTTGGGACGACCTGTATATAATTTCAAGAAGCTGCCAAAACGAAGGCAAGATGGCGTCGCAGTACCGACAACGTACCATGCTTGTAAACACGTAAAGATTTTGATCAATAACAATTTCAATATAGACAAGACGATAAATATTTTTATTCTTTAATTTATCATTTTAGACCAATTAATATTTTAAATGGTAAATTTTAATAATAATGTATATAAAAAGCTATTGAAAAAGATAAAAGCCTTTGTGTTATTTATGGCAACACAATGTCTCAGGTTGATCATCTAATTGTGTATTTAGAAAATTTATCAACAAACTACACACACAGATTCAAATATATGAAAATATTGTCAATTACCTTTAACAACATCAGTTAAAAACAGCACATCTTCAGCACTGCAACCTATTTTATCCACTATGGCCTTATAACTTGCTGCCTCCTGCTTAGAACCAACTGCTGTATCGAAATTTCCATCAATAAACTTAAGCAGGTCTCCAGCCAGGGATTGTCCAAACAATAATTTTTGAGCTTGAACAGATCCAGAAGAGTAGATGTAGACCTTCTGACCGTCAACAGCTCGCCACTGTTCCAATCCCGGGAGAACATCGTCGTAAACGCTGTAAAATTAAATTTTATACCTTATTTATTGTTTTAAGATATATTTACAAATAATTTTATCATATGAAAATTCGAATCACGACTGTTAAACCAATGGACTTTCTAAATTAACACTGGCTGGTACGATATTTAAATATTTATTTATTTATTGCCAGACAAGCGATGAAAACATTGTGAAGAAACCGGCATACCTTAGACCTAATAATTAATGGCGTGTCTGGCACAGAAAGCTGATCATCTACTTGCTTAAAAAGTCAATTGTGACAAAGTTACAGAAATCGGAGACCAAGACCTACTAGAGGTTGTATACCACTGTTTGTTTTTTAAAAAGGTAGATATGATTTCTAATGAACATGAACATTTTTAAAATTAGTCCAACCATACAGAATGTTATTTAGCACTTTAAGGATAACATTTTAAAACTAGTGTTTTACATCATAATTATTTTTAATATTGGCTAAAATTCTTCTGATTGGGTTCTGTGTTTATAATACATACATTTACATTATGACCTTCTGTAGTCATCAACTACCTACACAGCTGTTCTTGGCTAATATAATAATTACTTACTGGCCCTTAATATCTCCTTTATCATAGCCTTGCTTCCAAATCAATCCTTGAAGTTGTTTCAGAGCACCAACTTTGCGATCAGAAGACATCTGCCACTTCACATTGTTGACAATACCTTCAATCTGGTCTTCTTTTGATGCATCCTGAAAAAAATATAGAACAGCTTGACTAATATTATTCCACAACTTATGCCTTAAATGGAATGAAGAAAAACACGCTAGAACAATAGTTACCAATACAAACATTAATCTGTGTATAGACACACAATTTCAGCTGAATTACAGAAGCATCCTCAAAATCTGCATATTTAAAAGATATTTTAGTAATGCTTGGTAGGTAACGGTACATGATAAAATATTTTTAAATTAAAATCTTTGGTTGGTTAGCGGGAAGATTGTGAATGAAAATAAGAAACATATTAAAACAATGATCAAAAATCGTGTTCTTACAGACAATTGCGTTGAAAAGATTCGTACAAAATGTTAAATTAACAGTAAGACTCAAATAGTCTGATGATTAAGACAGCATTTAAAACAAATTTGAAATGCATGAATCATTTTGCACTTTATAATACTCACAATATTTACCCACTATTGGATTATTGTAATTAATTATTTCTATTAAAAAAGGTTGAAAAAAATTACCTCTCCAGGTATAGAAACAACCCCTTCAACACTTTTCTCTTTATCTTCTAGGGCCAGCTTCCTTAGTGCAGTCACGGCATTCTTTACATCTTCATTCTCCCACTGACTGTCCAGGAATGTCTTCACGTTTTCTTCAGCATACGGAAACAATTTGTCCTAGAGAGAAAGGAAATTATTAAAAAAATATCTTCCAACAACACAAAAAAGATCTTTATCTAATACTAGCAAATCCACCTCGGCCGGCCACGTGGTACTTTAACATTGAAAAATTATATTCCATAAGCTTCCCTTCGTGAATCATGCTATATTGCATTTGCTAAAAAGTTTGCAAATCCGACTACCACGAAAGTCTTTTAATTTTTCGAATTCATATATTTTTTTATTTTATTTTGTAAACCATATAAATATATATAAAAAGGAGGAGGAAAAAAAAAGGAAGGAAGAAAGGGGGAAAAAGAAAAAAAAAAAGGAAAAAAAAAAAAAAAAAAAA